GTCTTGGTCACTGGCTTTGTGTGTTGGGGCCTCTTATGTTGGCAATTGGAGGCTGTAGGTTTCTGGCAGCTTACCTCATGTTGGGCTGGAATCAGCAAGGCTGGAACTTTCAGGCAATTCTAGGTTGCCTGCTTTTCCTTTCCTTTAGCTTTCTTCAGCTCCTTTTAGATGGGTGCTGCAGGGTGTTTATCTGCCTGGGGCGCCCTGCAGTGTTGTCTCCCTCGTTCCTGCTAATGCACTGGGAGATTCCTTTGCGGTGGAGTGCCAAGGCTCCTGGTGGTTTTCTGAGCTGGTTTCCACCGGTTCCCCCTACCCTCACTGAGGCACTTGGAGGTCCAGGTGTTGGTGTTTGAAAAAAAAATCTTTAAAGTAATTTTGGGGGAATAGGGAGCTATTTTATATCTGGTTACATATCGTATATATATATATATATATATATATATATATATATATATACACATACATATATATATGTATGTATATATATATATACACTTTTTGTGTCTTGTGTGTATCTTTTACGTATCTCTATCTCATTGGCACATACTTGTTTATATGTTGTCTCCTCCGCCAGAATGGAAGCTCCTCGAGGGCAGGGACTATATTTGTCTTCGTTTTTCCAGTGTTTGGTGCATAGTAGGCCCTTCATAAATGCTTGTTGACTTATTTTTGACTAGTACTTTGTTGCCTCCCCATGTTGACTTGACTTACATTATTTTAGTCATTGTAGATACTGTTCTCTTGGCCCTGCTTTTTTCGCTCTGTATGATTTTATACAAGTCTTTTGTGTTTCTCTTAATTCTTCGTTTTCATCATTTTTCCCATCACAGTAATATTCCTTTGATACTCATACACCTCAATTTGTTTGATCGTTCCCTAATTGCTGGGCATATGTTTTGTTTTCAGGTTTGGGTTTTTTTGGTTGTTATCACAAATAATGCTGCTGTGAGTGTTTTTTGTACATATGGGTCTTTTCTTGCTGTCAGTCACTTCCCTGGGGTATAGTTTTAGTAAATGAATCTCTGGGTCAAAGGACATGAATAAATGAGTAACTTTGCTTGCATAATTCCAGAAAAGTTGAGCCAATTCATTCATAGCTCCACCAGCTGGGAATACATTGCTTCTCTTCCCACAGCCCTTCCAACAATGAGTTTTCCCATTCTTTTCCCATCTTTGCTTGCTTGATGGGTTTGAGGTAATCATAGGATCATAGATTTTGGGCTGGAAGGGAGCTTGGAGATCCAAATCCCTCCTTCCCCCTTCATTTTAAGGATGAAAAGACTGAATCCTAGAGACACTCAGAAACTTTCCGACTGTCATACAGATAGTGTCAGAGGCAGGATTAGAACATAGGTCCTCTGACTCTAAATTTAGTTCTCTTTCTAGTAAACCAAAGTTGTTTAATTTATATTTCTTTGAGTATTATTATTGATTTTTAATTTTTTCTCAGATGATTATATCCTCTAACCTCTTGTCTATTAGGGAATGGACTTTAATTTTATATGTTTTGGTCACTTCCTTATAAATTTTGAATGTCAGGCTGTTTTTCAGAGATATTTAGTGGGAGAGAAACAAAGATGGTATATTGCACAGGTATAAAATTCCTGGCACAAATGCAAGCATTCAGCAAAACACCCCCCAAAATGTAGCCTGAACAAGAATAAAATATAGTGGGGAAATAGTTAACACAATAAATACAAATACAGTGCAACACTGATAATGTTAATTTGTGATTTTTTAAAGTCATTATGAGGCAGCAGGGATTGATTTCTGTTTGAGTCTGATGCCACTGGTGTAGTGAATAGAGAGCAAGCCTCAAACTTAGGAAGCCCTGGATTCAAGTCTAGTCTCTGACATGTGATAATAACCAATATTAGCATCTTGAGGTTTGCAAAAGGCTTTACAACATCTTATCTCACTTCCCACATACTGGCTGCGTGACCCTGGGTGAATCTAAACTGTTAGGGCCACGTGCCCTAAAGTTAGAAACTGCATCTGCAGATGTGCATGGGTGAGCAGGTTTTTTCACTAGGTATTCTCTACATCAGTGAAAATGCGGGGCCCGGCTAAACAAATAATAATGCAAAGATTTCCCCCCATTCTATCTTCATCTGCTTCTACTTAGGGTATCTTTATACCTATATTTCCTCTTTCTCTTTTCTTCCCTACTTTCAAATTCCGTGAGGGTAGGAATTGTGTCTTAATTATTTTTCTGTCTCCTTCGGTACCTAATGTAGGGTTTGGCATAGAGTAGGCAATTACTCTGGAGCTGTTGAATGAATGAGTCAATCGATCCCTATTTGTTCCACCTACAGTACATTAGCCTCTCTACCTGATGTAGAGAAGACCAGGTCTCTCCGACAATCTACTGACACGCACGTCTTATTTGCCCAGAGTGCCTGATTTCTCCCTTGATGAGAACAGCAGCTTACTGATTACACTTTAATTGAAGGAAGGGAACCAGAGAGCCTCAGCATACTTTTATATGAGCAAATTGGCTGCCAGCACTAGGATGTTTGGCAGTTCTCTGGGTTTATTGTGGGAAATAAATGAGGGCCATGTTTCATCACTGCCAGTAGAGAAGGTTGCCATGGGTACTGCAGCATGGAAGACTAATTAAAAAAAAGTGAAAAAAAAAAGCAGAAGCAACTGTGTTCAACAAGGAAACATTTGGTTTGAAAATATACATTTGGTTTTTAGCATAGACTAGGGAATCCAACCTACTTAGAGATCAGGTATAACCTTTTAAAATAAATTTTATTGTTATTTGCAGTTCTAAATTCTCTCCCACCCCCATTCATTGAGAAGGCAAGGGATAGAATCAGGTATGACCTTTGGTCTGTTCTTTAAATGGTACCCTGCTTGTGCCAGCTGACCTATATCCTCTTCCAGAGGACACCACTTGGTATTCTACAAAAATGGTATGGGAATCATTCCAGAAATGTGACATCCATGTTTTTTTCTCCTGCTCCCAGTAACTTTCACCTCCTGTTTGTGGAGGAACCCAGCTTTTTAATAGCTGGGAACCAAGGGCCCTGGAAAGAGAAGTGCATTGGAAGTGGAAAAGAGTGCAGTTTTTCTAAGAGATTTGGTCATGGTGGATGTGAAGGAAGGAGGAATCAGAAGTTCTTGATATGTAGCAAAGATTGCCTACGATGTCTGATTTTGGCAAGGTGCCTACCACTGTCTTACTCCGTTTGTTGGTCAGTCCATCATTTAGTAAGCATTTGTTGAACACTCACTGTGTATCAGGCACTATGAAAGTGCTGGGCGTAGGACCTGCTCTCACGGAGCTCACGCTCTAACCGGGGAGACAACATGCAAACAACTATGTCCAAACAAGCTATAGACAGGATATTGGAGGTGTGTAATAGAGGGAAGAGTCTAGCTTTACAGGGGAATCCAGAAATGTCCTCATGTCAGCATCTTGTAATAATTGTGGCATATGAGTAGAGAGTTTACCCTTGAGGGGTAAAAGTCTTGCCCCTGTACTAGGAGCTGGGAGTGGTAGAGCTGTTTTTCTTTTGGTTTATGTTTTTTCAGACTAGGCAGAGAACAGCAATGGTTTGTCATCTCTGGAAATTCTGTCTCATGGCCAGGCTTTGTCTTGGCTGCTTGTAGACATCATCCTATCTTGCCCCAAGATTGATAAAAGTAGTGTAATACAGTAGAGAGTTGGATTTGGAATCAGAAGTCCTAGGTTCAAACCCTTCTTCTACGCTTAACAGCTGTGTGATTTTTGGGTAAGTCACTTTAACTTCTCTGGGCCGTAGTGTCCTCTGGAAAATGAGGGAGTTGGAAAACGGATCTTAACGGTCTCTTCCAGCTTGAAATTCTATGACAGGGCAATTTTGGAGTCTGTTTAGGACCGGGCCCTACCAGAAATGCCGTTCTCTTCCTTAAGACATTTACTGGAAGGGCTACTGCTTGTCCTGTCCATCTTGCATTCTCTCATTGGGTATTTTGCCCAGTGACTGAAATCTGTTTCAAATGTCCTGTCTTTACCCATTTTGAGTTTCTGTGATCTGCTTGGTACTGAGGATGTGCTGAATTATACAGAAGCTTTTCTCAACCCTTTTTCTGAAATGTGTTTTCCCTGTCCGCTCATCAAGTATGAAGAGCTACTGAAGACTTGGAGGCTAACCAGCTCCCGCCACTGCATCAGAAATCAAATGCTCCTTTGTTAGGGCCAAAGAAAATAAGACCAAAAAAACCCCTCAACCCTACTCATCTAATACTTTAATTGCTACTATAGACAGCCAGGGAGAATTTTGAATTCTGCTTCTTTGAATTGAAAAGAACTTCCAGTGCTAAATATTTAGCCCAACTCTTGTCCCAGCTTGTCTGGGTGACCCTCAACAGCATTTTTCTTCTCTGCCTGCTTCTGCCCATGTGTTAACTATGTCTGCTGCTGTGTTCTAACACTAAGTAGCCCACAATATTCCTCCCTAGTTAAGAATTATAGTCATTCTGCGAAAGCTTGAAGGAGGCAAGAATTGTATGGTAAGATGGTTCTACTTTAAGGTGTATTTCTCCTTAAGGGTAGGAAGCAAAACAATTTCTTGGTAGATCAAAGGTAGTAGTTTTCTGTCAGTGAATTTCAAACTCCGTAGGTAGCATTACTCATTTCAGGACAACCAGACTAGTTGTTAGCACTCTGAGACAGTAGGCTAAGCTGACATAGGATTTGGCAGCCATGATGGTGACTGTAGCTGGTATCAGAACTAGGAACCATGGAAAGAACAAAAATGGAATCAGCCAGGCAGGCCTCCCCCTCCAGATTATCAGGTAAGGCCTAAAGAAGAGAATCCTAACTCAGCAGCCTCAAACTTGGTTTTTGTGTTTTTGTTTTTCAGATTTTGATAATTATATTTCAGCATAATTGATTTCCATTATCTCCCTGTGTGTTTTGTTTTATTCATTTACAGACATTATTATTAAAAAGAATGTATAAGCTTCATCAGAAGAGTCTGAGACAGGCAGACACACACACACACACACACACACACACACACACACACACACACACACACACACACACACAGAGTTAGAGGAAGCCATGGTCTAAAGGTAGAACCAGTCAGGAATGTGGTTCAGGAGGTCTTGTAAGGCATGTTTTCCCCTATTGTTTGGTGAGATCTCTTTTTTTAAAAAATTTGCTCAATTTTGAGTTAACTTTTCTCAGCACTGAGTTCTGTGTCTCCTTGTGATGAAAACAGCAAGTTGTCCAGGACTTGGTTAGCTTCTCATACCTGTAGGTTTCAGATGGCAAGGGATAAGGTCAGGGAGATTGAAGGGAGCAGACAGATGGAATCCATGGTGAACTGGCCCCCTTTTTCTTCATCAGAATCTGTGTATGATAAAAGGAAGCCAATACTTCACTTTCTGAGATAGTTGGGGTTAGGTCCATTCTCACCTCATCATCATCATTCCCAGCAGCATTACAAGCATGGTGTTTCATAATTCTCCATTTAGTCCTCTTCCTACCCACTTGTAACCATGCAAAAGATTCTGATTTCTAGTGTTAGCTGTGCCTTGCAACTACTGATCTCCTTTTGTAAAGGAGGCAATAAGATCATTAGTGGCAGCTGGATAGAGCAAATGGGCTGGAATCAGGAAGAACTGAGTTCAGAGTTAGCCTCAGACACTTACTTGCTGTGTGACCCTGAGCAAGTCACCTAATCTTTATCTGCTTCAGTACCTCATCTGTAAAATGGGAATATTAATAGTACCTACTTCCCAGGGTTATTGTGAGGCTCAAACAAGGTAACAATTATAAAGCCCTTCACACAGTGCCTGGCACATAATAAGCACTATATCAATACTTGCTGTTGTTATTATTGTTGTTTGTTTTCAGCTTCTAGTTGTCTCTGTTGACTTTTCATTGGTAGAGTTTGCTGCTTTTGTCACGAATCTTCAATACATTTTGTTCTGAGCTGGTTAATATTCCTTTTTTTTTTTTTAACCTTTCTCCAGAGACATCCCAAGAGATCATAATCCTAGTTCTCTTATATTCAGCAGTAAAGTACTGTTCTCTCTTGAGTTTGAAATTATAGGGATATGTCATATCAGTCTTAATTATAGGCCATACACCTCCCCTCAAATGCAGTGTTTTTGAAAGGAAAAAACTACATATGATTATACACGAAAAAATAATCATGCCAAATTACATTTATAAAATAAATGGTTTACTGTGAGTTTTAACAATTTTCTCTAAATTCAAATCCAAATATTATATTCATTTAATTATCATTCCCTTTGTTTTCATTACTTTCGTTATCATTATTATTTGTAGGCAACACCCAGGTTTTGTGGCCAGCAGATAGGGGGACAAGTGCAGCCTCTGTGGATCAATGTGGTATCTGAATTGTTTTGAAATTACTGGTTGGTTTGGTGCCTTGCTTAAGACAAAAAGGTTTATTGTTGTCAGAAGCAAAGCCAGCAGTTGGATGGATAAGTGGGCAGCTTCCTAGTGTGGAATGCTCAGCAGGTCACAATAAGGAACACTTATTAATATTCATTTGTATAAATGCCCATATTTATAACAGCAGAAAATTCCACTTTCTTTGGCATTATTTTGAGGTCAGTCAAGTCCAGTGTGATACTTTGAAGTCTTGAAGCCTTTTGAGGATACTGGCAAATAGGGGGTATAATTTCCAACCCTCATCTAGGCTGCACTTCTAAGTCTTAGCTCTTGCTTTAAAAAAAAAGTGAATCCAGTGTGCATAGGGGGAGAAAATCCCATTCTCTCATTTTGTTGGGAGATTGAGAGAGTTCGGGAGGGGCAGCTGCTGTGTTTTAATGGCCTACCCCAGCTAGTCAGTTAGGGGCCAAAAAGTAAGTAGGTTCTCTATGAAGTTATGCCCTGGTTTTGTCTTCAGTCATTTTTCTGAGTGGGAGGTCTTAAGCCCGACACCAGGCATTTAGCTCAAAGAATGAAATGGTATTTTAGAGGCACTGAGATGTGTGGTCATGGTGAAGTGGCATGGAATGGGAAGAAATGGAGAAGACTCATATCCTGCCTCATACAGGTCTTCCCTAACTGCATAAACCAGTGTACTATGTCTCCTCCAGATTTGACTTGTCTGTAACACACAGCCATCAGATAGATAATATGCTCAGAATGCTAAATAAACTTTGGCTTCTGCATCAGAGACAGAGGGGAAAGAAATCCTGTTTTCAAAGAAAAGAGGATATTGATGGAAGAATTATGTTTTCAGGCTTCTGCATGGGGTCCTCTAGTGAAAAAGCCCAGAGAACTTCCTTAGGACTTTTCCGTGAGCTGAGCATGAGAGACGTGTTTGTCCAGAGTTAGGGTGGGAAATATCTTAAATGGAAAAGGGACCATATTGGTAGAGAAGATTGTTTTATTTTCATTTTTCTAAAAGGTTTTCAGAGTGGTGGAGTGTTTTTTTTTTCTGTGTTCTTTTTTAAAAATAGAAGACCGGGATGGGAAAAGTGACTGAAAGTAAAATCTTTTTGTGACAGTCTTTGTGATACACATCAGAACACTGAAAAGCAAGCATCACGCTGCAATGTAGGGCATGTTTGTATTTGGAATCAGAGGACTCTGATGCAAATCCTGCCTTTGCTATTTAATGTCTGTGTAACTTTGGGCAAGTGTTTGACTTCTCTGGCTTTTAGATTTCTCAACTGTAAAGTGACGGGGTTTGCCTAGATGACTTCTGAGATCCCTTTAAGTTCCAAACCTGTCGTTTCGTGGTTTGAAAGTAAAATCATTATGTAATAATGTTGTCAAAGGCCCCAGAAAGTATGCCTGGGGTTAGGGTGTCAATAACCCAGAGGAGGGGAATTGTCAAAGTTATGAGTAACTGCCAGTGTTAGGAGGGCAGCTAGGTGGCACAGTGGATAGAGTGCTGGGCCTGGAGTCAGGAAGACTCATCTTCTTGAGTTCAAATGTGGCCTCAGACACTTACTAGCTGTGTGACCCTGGGCAAGTCACTTAACCCTGTTTGCCTCAGTTTCCTCATCTGTAAAATGAGCTAGAGAAGGAAATGGCAAACCATTCTAGTATCTTAGCCAAGAAAACCCCAAATGGGGTCATGAAGAGTCTGACACAACTGAACAACAACAAAAACCAGTGTTAGGGACAGCATATGATTCTTAATAACTGAAGAAGTAAAATTCTTCCTTCTCTTCCCGTATCTCTCTAAATGGTGAGGAAGTGGGGAAGAAGAGTGCTGGTGCAGGAATGGGACATCAGTTTCTTCAGATGGAAAGCCTCAAACACCTCTCTCTAAGACTGTTTTATTAGTGACCCTTGCTAGAAATCCTGGGATCTGGGTTCAGCTCTGTTACTTGCTAGTCCTGTGACCTAGGGCAAGTCTGATTAACCTAAGCTTCATTTTTTTTACCTGTAAAATGGTGATCATATTTACTCTGCTTTCCTTATTGGGTTGCTGTGAAGAATGAATAAGATTATTATGTGGGAAAACACTTGGTAAATTATAAAATGCTTTATATAGTAAGGTATTATCATTTGTATTCTATTTATGAAGGCTGGGTTGGCTGTGTAATGGGAACAAAGAGCTTTCCAGGTTCTTGTCCTCTCCTTTATCCTCCTAAACTAAATGGAAACTTCAAAGCAGAGGCCTAAGGAAAGACCCGTTGACCTATTTTTTCTCAAGAGTGGGCATTTCTTAGGAGCAGATGAAATTAAAAGTGATTCTTGCCAAGGAGATATTGCTGTCCTGATGCTGGGTCTCATATTTAATTATTCCACTACATCCACATTAGCACAGACTGTTCCAAGCATTCTTGGAGCCAATATGGATCAGTAGCTAAGCAACAGGTGAGAAGCTTAGGGCCTTCATTCTAATTTTGACTATTCTTGCTGAAGTTTGGACAAATTGTGCCTCTTTCTCCTTACTTCTAAAATGAGGTTAACAGTACTTACTTCTTAGGGTGTGGTTGTGAAGAATTCTGAATAAAAGTAATCATGAATTATATGCAGATACCAAATGCTCTTGGAATTATGATTATTAGAACCAATACTAGCTGATAATGTGCAGGTAATCCTGAGATCAAAACAACTAGATGTCACATTGGACAGAATGCTGGGCCTGGAGTCAAGACGACCTTAGTTCAGATTTGGCCTCAGACACATTCATTAGCTGCGTGACATTGGGCAAGTCACTTGACCACTGCCTGCCTCAGTTTCCTCAGCTGTTAAATGGGGATGATAAAACACCTACCTCCTAGAGTTGTTGTGAAGATCAAATGAGGTAATATTTATAAAGCACTTAACACAGTGCCTGGCACGTACTAGGTTCCTTATAAATGGTAGCTATTATTATTAAACAGACTTTGAATTATCAAAGGATGTAAAGCATGAATGAATGATTCAAGTCCTGCCCCTGATACATAGTGACTCGCCCTGAATAGTCACTCTCTGAATAGCCCAGGCAGATTTCTAAAACTGAAAGTTGAAGAGATAGTGCCAATCTGAACTGATAGACAAAGTTCCTTAATAGAAGCTCACTACTGTGACAAACTCATTGGTCCAGCACACCCCCTTTCTAACCCTGTCCTTCCCCCCTCAAAAAGGTCAATGAATAAGAGAAAAAGTATCTATGTATCAGACACTGCTAGGAATACGAATACAAAAGTGAGACACTCTCTGGCCTCGAGGAGCCTGCATTCTAACAGAGACAACACAGAAGGGAGCTGTGGACGAGGAAGGGCATCTGGGCATAACAGCAATTGTTGAAATGAGCCACAGGGCACTAGATTGATGGGGCTCGTCCTTTGCAGCAGCAGAGAAGTGTTGCCTGGATTACCATGCTCAGGGTCAGAACTGAAAGGAAGAGGGAGGAGAGGTGGCAGGAGAGGATGTGGCAAGTGCTGATCTGCAGTTGTTTTGCAATTTATAGTCTGAGAATATTGCCCAGGACATGGAAAAGTTAAGTGACTTCCCCATTGTCACTTAGCCAGGATCCTAGAAAGATGAGATTGAGGCCATGAGTTCTTTATCTGTTAGCCTGTCTCCCTTTCTGGGGGCACCTTTCTTCTGAAGAATTCAAAGCACTTCTACATTTATCTCTATGACAACTGTCAGGAAGATTTGGGGTCAGGGATTGCCCCAATGAAATATAGAGCTATTAAGTGCCTTGCCTGAGGTTACCTAGTAGATAATAGAAGCAGGCCCAGAATTCCTGCCTGCTGGGTTCTTTTTTCCCCTAGGCCTACGAGTTCTTTCTTTAACCTCAGATCTGGATGCTACTTGGTCACCATCTAAGGCTACTGCCTAGTATTGGGACTTGGTTGTGATAAAATGCTCTCCTCCTGTGTGCTTTGGAGTGCCAGTTAACACCTTATTTAGGACTTTAAGTTTGTTCCTTTTTGGGTGGCTTGTACCAAGAGATGATCTACATTGCTTTAGCTTATGTTCTTTATTTTGCATTTTTCTTCCATAGTGTTTGCTCGAATTAATGAAGCAGCAACCACCAAACCAGGTACATGCCAAGCTGTCTTTGTGCATGTTGCAGAAAATATTTTCTCTTCTTGACTATTTGGAGAGAGCACCCCAAATATATTCTGTTTTGCTCAGTAAATTGATACCACATTTATTTATTGCACATTGATTTCAGTACAGCAATCAGTATATCAGTCTCTGGCTAATCAGACAATAGTCTCAGTATTCTTTCCCTCCCTCATACCAATAGGCACAGAGTAGACTGAATAGTTTTACAATCCTTTGAAAATTATTTTTGTAATGGTATGAAAAGATTTCCCAGGATGAAGTATTCACAGCTGGGAAAACAGTTGTTACTTTGAAGATGGTTTTCCCAGGCACAAATCTCACGTCTCCCACTGTTTGGAATATAAACAGTGTATAGTGTAAACTTATTACTTTTTGTTAATACTTAATGGAGTTTCATAATCCTTTTTTCCATACTAAGTGAACTGTCACTTCTTCTCAGGTATATTCTCATACTGGTATGTTTCTTAGGGAGCAATGTATTTAGTTATGCCTGAGTGTGTGTGCTTTGTGTCAGTATATGTGATGATAATAGCACAAGCTGACATCTATATAGCTGGGATTTTAAGATTTGCAAAGGGCTTTAAATAGATTGTCCAATACGGTCTCTAAATCCCATATTGAAGGTGAGGAAATTGAGGCTTAGATTCCTTACCCATGTATTCATAGCAAGTAAGTTCCACAATCCGAATTTGAACTCAGGTCTCTCTTGGTACATCCTGTATGTGCCTAGAAAGATATACAGGCATTCACAGGTTGGGGATCAAACAGTACTGACCTCTTGTTCTGTGCTCAGCACTATTCTAGACAACATGAGTGATGCAAAAGAAAAATTTATGTATACATACACACATATACATGTGTGTATGTATATACGTGGACACATATTCCCCGACCTTCTTGGTGTGTTCACAGTTGAGTTTGGGAGACAACAGTATGAAACAATTCGAAAACAACGTGACATTATATAATGTGGCCAAAATGGGCAGTGCAGACAGGGAAGTGCGGTAGCAGTTCAGAGAAGGATATTCCAATATAATATAGAAACCTATTAACCACAAGTTTAAAAAAAATTTTTTTTCCAAAAATTTTTTTTCCTTTCAGAGATGTTACCAGAGCTGCTAATAAGGAGCGAAATAGAATTATTTAAATGTTGCACTCTTACCCTTACAAGAAGAGTCAAAGTAGATCAAGAATGTGTGAACAGCAAAGTAAGTAATTAAATAGAAGAGGTGCTAAACGGAGATGGAAGTATAAGACAATTCCCTCAGAGAGCTTATAGTCTCCTAGGAGAGCGAAAAACATATAGTAAAGAAGGAAATGACAAACCACTCCAGTGTATTTGCCAAGAAAACCCCAAATGAGGCCACGGAGAGTCGGACACGATGGAACAACAACAAGAATATACATACACAAAGGAGTGTGATGCAGAGTATGATTCAAGGCATTTTGTTAATAGTGACATATAGAGGGGCAGCTAGGTGATGCAGTGGATAGAGCACTGGCCTTGGAGTCAGAAGGACCTGAGTCCAAATGTGACCTCAGACACTTGACACTTACTAGCTGTGTGACCCTGGTCAAGTCACTTAACCCCATTGCCTAGCAAAAACAAAACAAAACAAAATAGTGACATATGAGTGGTGCAAACAAAATGCATAGGGATTTAAAGAGTGGAGAAAGCCTTTTTTTTTTTTAAACCAAGATGATTATAGAAGGCTTCCTTGAGGAGGTGGCATTTGAGCTAGGATTTGAAGGCTAGGCCAAGAAGCTGAGAGGGAAGGGTATTCCAGCTGTAAGGAACTGCATTAGCAAATGCAAGATGAAAAAACCACAAGATATGTTTAGGAAACTAAGTAAATAGTTAAATTTAGTTGGAATGTTGGGTTCATGTATGGAAACAGTAGAAGAGAAGAATTGAAAAGATTAGCTGGGACCAGATTGTGAAGGGATTTGAATGCCATGGTAAGAAATCTGGACTCTCTTCAGTAGGCATTGAGGAGCCATTGTAGGTTTTGTCAAGGAAGCAGGGGGCAAAGAAAACAGAAGCATCGAAGTACTCGGGTTTTGAGCCTGGTGTGACTTGAAAAATGGTGATACCAGTAATAGAAATAGGCCAGGCAGGAGGAGCGGATGCTTTGGTTTTAGTGAATTGTGAGTTTAAAACAAGTCAGCATTTGGATCTGATAGCCTCAAAGGCTCATGTTACCTTAGGTGTAGCAGTATAGAACAGAGGAGGTAATAGCCCTCTTCTACTGTGTGCCCTGGTTGAACTATGGAGGCTGGGGATCCAGGAGGCAGAAATGAGCAGAATTGGCCAGATGTTGTTTTCAGTTCTGGGAGCCATATTTTTAGGAAGGATTTTGACAAGTTGAAGGATGACCCGGATGTTGAAAGAATAAGAGAGGGGATAGAGATGCTCTGGGGGAAGGGAAGAGGTTGGTAAACAATAGCTGTCTTTAAGTATTTGAATAGTTGGCCTGCTAGAGAGAGTAGACTTGCCTTGTTTGTCCCTCCAGGGCTGAAGCAAAGTTAACAGTGTGTGGTTGAAGGGAAGCAGATGTAGGCTCATTAACAATTACCACAGTCCTGAGGTGGAACAGGCTGCTTTCCTAGGTAGTGTGTTTTTTTTTCCTTCTCTGAGATCTTTAGATAGAAAATAACCACATTTTAGGAGTGTTGCAGGGGAATTCTTAGTCTCTGCGGTTAGACTACATGACTCTTTGGCATTTCTTTCTGAGATTACAGAGACTTCTGAGATACTGTCATACTGTTAACAAAGCCAATGATGAAGCAGACAGGACTGTAGGATTCCATAGGTAAAAGCAAAACATGCAACAGATGAATCACTCAGGGATAATCAGGATTTGTCTAGTGTGCCAAATAAAGATACAAAAAACCAGGTATAAATGCAGCCACTTAAAAGTACCACGCCATTCATTGTCAGTTTACAGTATTTTTTAAGCACTTACTATGTACCAGGCACTGTACTTAGCATTGAACCCAACAACAACAGCATTGTACAAGATATATACAGTCTAAGTGGAAGGTAACGGCAGGAGGAGAGCACTGGGTGGGGAGGGGATACTAGGAAAGATCTCTTACAGGTAAAGTGGAATATAAGCTGAGTCTTGAAGGAGGCCAGGGAAGCCTGAAAGAAGGTGGAAGAGGGAGAAATAGCATCTCACACACGGGAGACAGCCAGCAAAAAGACAGAGTGCCGAGATGAGTGTAGTGCAGGGAAACCAGTGTAGCTGAATCAGAATCTGTGGCGGGAGTTAAGGTATAAGAAGCCTGGAAAGGTAGGAAGGGGCCATCTTATGAAGGGTTTTAAAAGCAAACTAGATTGTATATTTGATTCTGGAGATAACAAGGAACCACTAGAGCTTATTGAATCAGGTTGTGTGTGTGTGTGTGTGTGTGTGTGTGTGAGAGAGAGAGAGAGAGAGAGGGAGAGAGAGAGAGAGAGAAGGAGAGAGAGACACACACACACACACACACAGAGACTGAGACGTACATGGTCAGACTGGTGTTTTGGGAAAATAACTTTGGCAGTTGAGTAGAGGATAGATTGGAATGGGAAGAGAGATGAATCAGAGATGCCAGGTGGAAGGCTGTTGCAGTATCTAGGTGAGAGGAAGTGAGGGCCTATTGATGGTGGTAAGAGGTGTTGTAAAGGTTAAAATGCTAGGTCTTAGCGCTTGACTGGATATGTGTGGTGAGTATGAGTAAGGAGCTGAGGATGTCACTAGGGTTCCAAGCCTAGGTAACTTGAAGGATGGTTCTACCTGTGACAATAGTAGGAATGTGGGAAGAGGAAAGAATTTGGTGGGGAAAGATACTGAGTTCTGTTTGGGACATGTTGAGTTTGACTTGCCTATTGTATATCCAGTTTGAGATGTCCAAAAAAGGCATTTTGTGATGTGAGAGGGACTGAATCCCAGGGAAGATGTTAAGTTTGAATATATAGATCTGGAAATCATCTAAATAGTTAATAATTATAACCTATGGGAGCTGATAAGATTGACAAACATGATAGTATAGAAGGAGAAGAGAAGACCCAAGACATAGCCTTAAGGGCCATCCATAAATAATGTGTGAATTAGATGTAGATTCATCTGGGGAGACTGAGAAAGAGAGATCTGGAAGAGGTGTTAAACAAAAACAGAGTTGATAATGATCAGCATTTCTTATCATGATGAAGGAAGAGATAGTGGGTAAACGTCTCTGAGTGACATAAGATGAAGCATACACCCACTCCATTCTTTTTTTTTAATTAATTATTTTTTAGTTTTTAGCATTCACTTTTATAAGATTTTGAGTTCCAAATTTTTTCTCCCTCCTTCTTCTCTTCTCTCCCAAGATGGCATGTTCTCTGATATAGGCTATATTTGTATTAAACATATTTCCACATTAGTCATGTTGTGAAAGAAGAATCAGAACAAAAGGGAAAAACTACGAGAAAGGTAAGAAAAAAGAGAGAAAAGAGTATGCTTCGATCTGCATTCAGAATGCATAATTCTTTCTTTGGATATGGATAGCACTTTCCATCATGAGTCTTTTGGAATTGTCTTAGATCATTGTACTGCTGAGAAGAGCTAAGTTGATCATAGTTGATCATTGTACAGTGTTGGTGTTGCTGTGTACAATATTCTTCTAATTCTGCTCACTTCACTTAGCATCAGTTTATGTAAGTCTTTCCAGGTTTTTCTGCAGTCTGCCTGCTTATCATTTCTTATAGCACAATTGTATTGCATATCATTTTCTATTATACCACAACTTGTTCAGCCATTCCCCAATTGATGGGTATCCCCTCAATTTCTAATTCTTGGCCCCTACAAAAAGAGCTGCTATAAATATTTTTGTACATGTGGGTCCTTTTCCCTTTTTTATGATCTGTTTGGGAAACAGACCTGGTAATGGTATTACAGGATCAAAGGGTATGCACAGTTTTATAGCCTATCAGGTATCTTCCAAGTTGCTCTCCAGAATGGTTAGATGAGTTCACAGTTCCACCAACAATGCATTAGAATTCCAATTTTCACACATCTTCTCCAACATTTATCATTTTCCTTTTTTGTCATATTAGTCAATCTGATAGATGTGAGGTGGTATCTCAGAGTTGTTTTAATTTGCATTTCTCTAATCAATAGTAATTTAGAACATTTTTTCATATAGACTATAGATAGCTTTAATTTCTTCATCTGAAAACTGCCTGTTCATATCCTTTGACCATTTATCAATTGGGGAATGACTTCTATTCTTATAAATTTGACTCAGTTCTCTATGTATTTTAGAAATGAGGCCTTTATCAGAGATACTGGCTGTAAAAATTGTTTTCCTGCTTTCTGCTTCCTTTCCAATCTCAGTGGCATTGGCTTTGTTTGTGCAGAAGTTTTTTAATTTAATGTAGTCAAAACTATCCATTTTGCATTTCATGAAGTTCTTTCTTGTTTGGTCATAAATTCTTCTGTTCTCCATAGATCTGACAGGTAAACTATTCCTTGCTCTTCTAATATGGTATCACCCTTTATGTCTAAATCATGTACCCATTTTCACTCCATTCCTTATTATGCCTCTAACCTCTGCCCCGACCCCTCTCTGCCATAACATGTCACTTGGCCTGAAGACTATGTTCTCTCCTTTTAGAACTCAGTCTCTGTTCTATATCTGAAATACTCTTCCTCATCCTCTCTGTTAGGCTGAATTTTTCACATCATTTCTAAGCCCAGCCTTAGGAACATTTTCATCATGAATCCTTTTCTGTGGCAAGAGTCATAATTAATCTTTTTCTGTCTCTACTTCCTACTCTTTACAAAGCCATGTGTGAATATTTTAGCATATAAATACCTTTTAGTTTGTTTTGTTATATATATTTGGTAAATTCTAATTTGATCTTCTGACTGAAACAAAAAAACCCCAGCCAATTTATAAATTAATTTTTTATTTACATTTCAACTATGAGAGCCAATTTTTTAAGCTGAGAATGCTTTGATTTATATAGATCTTTAGTTGTGGAGTGATGGTTGGAGTACCATTCTTAGCATCAGGAAGACTTGGGTTCAAATCTTCCATCTGAGCCTGCCTAGCCACGTGGGCATTATTTACTTAAACCTCTCTGAAGCTCAGTTTTGTCATCTGTAAAATAAGGTTAATAATAACTATGGTATCTACCTCACCAAGTTAATGTGATATTCAAGTGAGATAATACATGTGAAGTACTTTTCAAATCTTAAAGTGATATATAAACATTAGCTGTCCTTGTGATAATCATCAGTAATGAAACTAGTTTGATTTCACAAATATTTTTCAGTTTAATAGGTCTTGTATTTATTTCATAATCAGAAGCCATGTTTAGCTAACTGCTTAATAAGCTAATTTTCCTGGAGAAGGATAAGATGTCATTGGAGTTCATTTGTATTTTTATGTGTGTATAGGTAAGGATTTTTTTGGGGGGGGTTTCCTTTTGTCTTGTTTTTGGATTCAACCTATGATGTATGGTTTTATTGGTATAGAGAACTCCCAGTGTGGAAACTCCCCCTGCCAAATCAGGTAAGTATTGCAACTTATATTCTTACAGAGCTGTCAAAGACAAGGAAAGGAAAAGGGACTTACCCAGTCAGTCACGCAGCCATTATGTCTCAGAAGTGAGACTTGAACTCAGGTCTTCCTGACTCCAAAGCCAGCTCCCTAATCCACTGTAGCATATGGACTCACAAGTTTGTAATTAAGCTTTTGGAATTAAACTTAAGTAAAAAGAAAACTCGTGAATAATAAATATCTTTCCCTGCTCAGGAGATATATAAATCCTTCTGTTATGAATTTTGCTAAAAAAAAGTTCAGAACATCTAAAAATTTGAAATAAACAATATGTTCAGATTGAATGTTGACTGTATTCCAGTGTGCAGGCCAGGGGCACAGTGATTTTCAGTAATACTTGTTTCCACTGCTTTGATGTTTTCATCTAAATCAAACTACTCTTTTTGTTTGTTTCTCTTGTTAGCTGTGGCCAAAGGGCAAGGTTTTTGTACTGACTAGTCATTGACCATGTGTTCCTTTGTGCCCACATACCATGTCACACAGTCAGTGTTTTTTCCAGTTCAAGTCAACAAGCAGTTGTGAAATGTGGATAATTTGCAGACCATTGTGCTTTGCCATGGGAGAAAGAGAAAGATTTGATAAGAGTTTCTGCCCTCATAGGGTTTATAGTCTAGTGAGAAGGACATAAGATACACAAATAACTTTAATACAAAGTAATACATGAAAAATGCATAAGAGAGGTCTACTGGGTGAGGAGCTAGGGTGGAGTATATTTAGGAGAGGGAGGGAGAGAGACAGACATACACACAGAGAGACAGACAGAGACACAGACACAGACAGACAGAGACGGTGTATGTGTGTTTTACTTGCAGTAGCAAATTTGCTTTTAGTGAAATTAACACAGTGCCATTACAGTAAACCAGAGACAGGGGCTTGACCATATTTTTGTTATTCTGAACTTGGTACTCTTTATAATAGGTTCAGATAAGGATAGATGGGTATATTTATATCACATTTATGCCTCTCAAATGATTTGAGTCAGAATATTCCTGAATGTGTTAAATACCTGATTGAAAACTGTTAAATACCTTAAAACTGCCAGGCTGGTCTTATCTCTCTCTGTTAAGAATCAATCAAGCAACAAGTATTTTTAAAGAGTGCCTGCCATAAACCAAACACTGGAAATACAAAGACAAAAAAAGTCAGGCAGTTTCTACTCTGAAGGTACTTACATCCTATAAACTACCACCTCCCTGAAGGCAGGGATTGCTTATTTATTTTGGCATTTTCTCCATCGTATAGAGCACTCCACTATTACAAATGTTTATTTGCAGGTACCCAATCAAGAATTCTTTTTAATTTTTTTTATTGTGAGCTTAATAATCAACAAGCATTATAATATAGAGAATAAAAAATAACATTGTAAAGGAAAGTGGACTTGTTCCATGCAACTTCTAAAAAGTATTTTTTTAATATAAATTTGTTTATTTTTAGTTTTCAACATTCACTTCCACAAGTTTTTGAGTTCCAAATTTTCACCCCATCTCCTCCTTCCCCCCACCCCAAGATGTCATGCGTTCCCTTCTCCTAGTCTGTCCTCTCTTCTATCTCTCTCCCCTTCTCTTATCCCCTTCCCCTTCTATATTCCTGTAGGGCAGGACAGACTTCTGTACCCCATTTCCTATATTTCTTATTTCCCAGTAGCATGTGAAAACATTTTTTTAAACATATGTTTTTAAAACTTTAGGTTTCAAATTTTCTCCCTTCCTCCCTCCCCACCCACCCTCATTGAAAAGGCAAGCAACTCAATATAGGTTGTACATGTGCAGTTATGCAAAACACTTCCATAGTAGACATGTTGTAAAAAACTAACTCTATTTCCCTTAATCCTATCCTGCCCTCCCATTTATTCTATTCTTTCTTTTGACCCTGTCCCTCCTCAGAAGTATTTACTTCTGAGTACCCCATCATCCCCCTGTTCTCTTGTCCCCTTCTCCCCTAATTTTTCTGTAGGGTAAGACAGATTTCCATACCCAATTGAATGTGTATGTTATTCCCTCCTTAAGCCAAATCCTATGAGAATAAGATTCACTCATTCCCTCTCACCTTCCCCGTTTCCCCTCCACTGTAAGAGACTTTTCTTTTCTGTTTTTTTTGTGAGATAATTTACCCCATTCTACCTCTCCCTTTCTTCTTCTCCAAGTATAATCCTCTCTCATCCCTTAATTTTATTCTCCAGATATGACCCCTTAATCTTCAACTCACCCTGTGCCCTCTATCTATCTATCTATACATATACATACATATAATTTTTTCCCAACTACCCTAATACTGACAAAGGTCTCATGAGTTATAAATATCATCTTTCCATGCAGGAATGTAAACAGTTCAATCTTAATAAGTCTCTTATGATTTCTCTTTCCTGTTTACCTCTTCATGTTCCACTTGAGTCCTGTATTTGAAAGTCAAATTTTCTATTCAGCTCTGGTCTTTTCATCAAGAATGCTTGAAAGTCCTCTATTTCACTGAATGACCGTTTTTTTCCCCTGAAGGATTATACTCAGTTTTGCTGGGTAGGTGATTCTTGGTTGTAATCATATCTCCTTTGCCCTCGGAATATTATATTCCATGCCCTGCAGTCCTTTAATGTAGAAGCTGCTAAATCTTGTGTTATCCTGATTGTGTTTCCACAGTACTTGAACTGTTTCCTTCTGGCAGCTTGTAATATTTTCTCCTTGACCTGGGAACTCTGGAATTTGGCTAATATATCCTAGGAGTTTTCCTTTGGGGATCTCTTTCAGGAGGAGATCTGTGGATTCTTTCAATTTCTATTTTGCCCTCTGGTTCTAATATATCAGGGCAGTTTTCCTTGATAATTTCTTGAAAGATGATGTCTAGGCTCTTTTTTTGATCATGGCTTTCAGATAGTCCAATAATTTTTAAATTCTCTCTCCTGGATCTATTTTCCAGGTCAGTTGTTTTTCCAATGAGATATTTCACATTGTTTTCTAATTTTTCATTCTTTTGGATTTGTTTTACTGTGTCTTGATTTCTCATAAAGTCACTATCTTCCAATTGCTCTATTCTAATTTTTAAGGAAGTATTTTCTTCAGTAATCTTTTGGACTTTCTTTTCCATTTGGCCAATTTTTCTTTTTAGGGCATTTTTCTCCTCATTGGCTTTTTGGACCTCTTTTGCCATTTGGGTTAGGCTATTTTTTAAGGTGTTATTTTCTTCAGTATTTTTTTGGGTCTCCTTTAGCAAGCTGTTGACTTGTTTTTCATGATTTTCTTGCATCACTCTCATTTCTCTTTCCAGTTTTTCCTCTGCTTCCCTTACTTGCTTCTCAAAATCCCTTTTGAGCTCTTCCAAGGCCTGGGACTGATTCCTATTTTTCTTGGAGGCTTTGCATGTAGGAGCTTTGACTTTGTTGTCTTCTACTGGTTGTATATTTTGATCTTCTTTTTCACCAAAGTAAGATAATATTCTGACTCTTTTTGTGCTGCTTCCTCATGATCCCGGCTCATTACTTGAGTTTTAAACTTTTGTTAAGGTAAGAGTCTGCTTCCAATGTGGAGAATGCACTGTCCCAAGCTTCAGGGTTTTGTATAGCTGTTTTCAGAGATACTTGTAGGGACCTGTAAATTTTCAATTCTTCCAAGGTGGTATGATAAGGGTCGAGGTGTTTACTCCTTTCCTGGCCTGCGACTACAAGTACTCCTTTCTGTCCTGTAACTGTGAGGAGGGGCTTCTCTTCACAATCACTACAAGCTCCACCAAGCCAGCACTCCTCCTCACCCCAGCACTGCCTCCCAGAACTGTGGCCCAGATCCAAACACGGGCAAAGCAAGAGATTCCTGCCTCAGCACTGGCAAAGAGATCCCTGCAGTCCCTCTCTGATCAGCCACTGGATTCCCCCTCAGTCTGTGGGCCGGAAGCTCGGGAAGCAGCTGCCCACCCAGGACCATGCTCTTGGGGAATGGAGCTGAGACCCCTCCTTCCTTTCTCAGCAACGACAGAAACAGACTTTTGCCACTGACCTTCTAAGTTGTCTTGGGCATTGGTGGATTGAGGAGTCTGGAAACCACCACAGCTGCCTGCGATTCAGTCCTCTGAGGCCTGTTCCAGGTTTGCTGCGGCCTGCGCGCCCACACCGCGCTGCACTGCGGCGCGATACACCTTTCTGATCAATCATCCAAGTTGTCTTGGGCTGGAAATGTGTTTCACTCTGTCTTTTTGTGGGTTCTGCTGCTTCAGAATTTGTTTAGAGCCATTTTTTATGAGTATTTGCAGGGGTTTGGAGGAGAGCTCAAGCAAGTCACTGCTTTCACTCCGCCATCTTGGCTCCACCTCCTAAAAAGTATTTAATGACATAGTAACAAAAATCCTGTTTCTATCCTCTTTTGAACTTTTTTGTTTTCTTTTTTCATGTTATTCTAATATATTATTGATACGCTTTCCTTCCTTTTTGCTCTTCTGTCACTAATCCCTAACTTACCCTACTTTTTAATAGATTATATGTAGTTAAATAAAGCAAGTTGGGTGCATTGGCCATATTTGAAAAATGTATATTTTATTCTGTAGCTCTCTATCTTTTGCCTTTTTGAAATCATGATTACTAAATTGATCTGAATTCTCAAGTCTTCAAAGATTGTTTCCCTTTACATTATTCCAGTCTTTGTGTAGATTGTTCTCCTGATTCTGCTTACTTCACTCTTCATCAGTTCATACAAGTCTTCCCCAATTTCTTTGAGTCCTTCCCATTTGTCATTTCTTACAATTCAATGAGCTTTTACTTTCATTTATGACAGTTTTTTCAGTCTTTCCCCAATTGATGGGCACCTTCTTTGTTTCTAGTTATTTACTACAACAAAAAGTGATGCTAAAACTTTTTTTTTTAAGATTTGTGAGATTCCTTTACCTCTGTCTTTGAGATATGCCTAGTGATGGTCTCCCTGGGTTAAATATAAATGGATTTAGAACAAATAAATGAATAAATAGCATCCAATGGGCACTCAATAAAATTTACCTGAATTGAAATAGAAGATGCAGTTAGGTTGAAAAACAAATATTATGAAAGAGTACTAAGCTTATGAGAAGTCTATTAATGGTTTTTGAGGATGTGATTGCCTTAGGGTTGCAGGGTTTGTTGATCTG